AAAGAAAGAAAACAAGATTCAAAACTTACCCACAACTTGATTCTAGAGCAATATTTTCGAATTTCGTCTGCATTATATCAATAATTTTTTTTTAGAGATTTTGGGTGATTAGTAAGAAAGAGAGAAATTGAATTTCAAAAGCTTTGGAAGAGCAAAAAAATATGTAGTTTTGGGTGGGGTGGGGGGATAACAATGGGTAAGCAAGATTTTGGGTAAGTAAGATTTTGGATAAAAGTGGGTAAACGAAATTTCTTACTGTGGGTAACAATAATTTTGGATAATTGTTAAGAAAGAGAGAAGTTGATTTTGTAATCCTTTGGAAAAGGAAAGAATCTTAAATGTATGGGGAATTATTGGAAATGGGGGTTGGGTGTCATGTAACTGATAGGCTAGATTTAAGGGATCTTGAATTTTTTCTTTTCTTTGATTTTGTATAGAACTAGTAAATATAGATATACAAAGTAATTAATAAAGAACCTAAATAAATATGGTAAATAGGTTTCTATTATAGTATAGCTAGGTAAAAACCACATGAATAAATCTCTCAATCCTAAACCAAAGATCCCGTTGAGCTGAAAAAAACTCCAAGAGAGTGCTTCCCCTAGACTGGGCCCGATATTATTCGTTGCGAACCCAAATAAGTTGTGCTAGTAAATTTCGAATACCGGATAAATAAAGAAAAAACTAAATAAGTATGTTGGTTTTGAAGCATAATGTATGTCTATCTGCGGCTGTTTCTCGTATTAAAATCCTACAAGATTTTTTTTGCAAGAGAATAAACAAATAAATAAAAATAATTACGAGTTGGACATATGAAATGTTTCAAATCTTTTTATTACTATTACGAGTGAGGAATATATGGGATTCGATCCCTCACCACATGTGAAGGATGAGGAGCTCACACCACGTAAATTACCTTTTAACCCAGGACATACAGGATTGCGACTCATTGTTTGACCGAAATTAATCCACTCAACTTTGATCATGTATTTTCGGGCTAGTTATAACCCAAATGGTTTATCAGCCGACTCATTTTAACCCGCCCAAATATGATCCAAACCGCTCATTTTACACCACAATGTAGCTACCTAGGATTCACAAATGTGTTCTACCACAAGCTAAAGAATTCTCGTAGGACAGCAAGATTTCCTTGAAAAACACCTTCTTTTATATATATATATCCCAAGAAAACAACCCTAAACCTTACTATACTAAAACCCTAGACCTATAACCCTACAATTCTAATTATTTTAAAAAAAATTAAAATGTTTGGAAACAGTGGGTTGCAGCCATGAAAATATATGCTCCATTTCGAGGCGACACGAGCACTTTCCCGGCGTTTTCTCCCACCAATTCTCCTCTATACTTTCAATTCATGAATTCTTGTGTTAATTTAGTAGGTTTCCCTTCCAAGATTGCCCTTCCTTGTCTACCTCAATTTAGTTAATACTAATATTACCTATTTTTCTTCCAACTGGCAACCATGACTAAGTTTACTGCTCCCTCCGGTCCAAAAGTGATTTTTTGGATGTTTTCACACAAATTAAAAAATCCACCTTTTAGCATTAATTAGCAATGGAATTGACCATATTAACCTTTACTATCTCACATAAACACTCCTAACACATATTCCAACACCATTTACTTCAAGGACAATGTAGGAAAAAAATAATTAATTCATTCTTGAAATCTGGAAAAATCACTTATTTTGGACCACAAGAAAAAGGCAAAAAAATCACTTATTTTGGACCGGAGAGAGTAATTTATAATTTTTAAGTTGTTCATGCAGAGACGGATCGAGAATTTGAATGTGGTGGAGGTACATGAACGGATTGCTCACCCAATGTCCCATCAGACTTTTAATCTTAAGGGTTATGTTTTATATAAAAATAGATGATCGTTTTAACATATGTATACATATATATCCAGAATTTTTACTGAGTTTAATAGCGTCCGATAACCCCTCTTGTCTCTATACATAAGTCTGCCTCTAATTGTATGAAGTGCTTTCCCCTTAGATAATATCTAATGTTAATCTGAGTTGGTTGGATAAGTGGTTTCTAGACACTAACAAGATGATTATAATGAAAAAGATCATTAGTTTAAATTTTTGAAATAATTGAAAACCTTTAGACGTACACATGATAAGTTGTTTCATTTGTATTTCTAAGTCGTTTGATTCATGATATTATTAAATTTTTATACAGTTATATGAAATACTAGCTAATTAGCTTGATATATATCATATTTACAAGACTATCAGACGTGCAATCTGACATAAATTCTTGACTTGTGTGACAATCATCCAAATATTTTTCTTATAATAGGTGGTGGTATAATTTGAAACGAAATATGTATGCCTTTTCTGGTACAATGTTGAATTGCAAGTGTCACCAATGTCAATTTCAATAGCATTACTTCACGAAATATACTTGTAAATTACGAATAGTTTTAATCCAAACCCTAAATTAAATCCTCATATATGGGGTTTTAATCAAGAAAAAAAGACACGAACAATTATAGCAGCAATCCAAATATACATGGTAATCAGTAATCACAACCAAACCATGCAATAAACACAAGGAAATCAATACCGGTGCTTTTGTCAAAAATTAGTTAGAAAAGAAACCTGTAATTAAGATATGCATAATTAATTTTGCCAGTTGATGAGTTGGAAACATAAAAACACAATTTAAGATTGATGGGATTATAAGTTCATCTTCCGATCCAATAAAGTTGAATTGAAAGCTGATCCGTTTACTATCGATGTTTTGGTTTCTAGAAAAAAAAAAACATAAACATTTAAAAGTGGAAAAAAAAAAAAAAACTATGGTGCATAAAGCATTTCACATTCACGCTAAGTTCAAAAGAGTGTAAAAAAAGTGTCTCTTTTCGTCTTCTTGAGCCGAGAGTCTTTCGAAAACAGGCTCTCTATTCCCTCGGGGTAAGGTTTGCGTACTCGCTACCCTCTCCATATCCCACTTGTGTGATTTCACCGGGTGGTTGTTGACTTGTTGTTGTTGTTGCTAATTTCAAAAAAGTGTCACACTCCTATACTGATGTAGGCAATCTACCCTAACACAAGTGTCAGGAAATAATTTCACATATGACTCGAACCTTAACTTGGTCACACTTTACTGTTGCTCCAAGATTTGCTTCGTGAATGCGGTTAAAAACAAGTCTAGCCTGATCTAATTTTAGCTATTTTATTTCTCTATTATGTGAAGAACTTTGCTTTGGTTCCACCATATAGTGATCGAATATTATGATAAAATGGAAAAATAATACTCCATTGAAATAGCTAGTCCAAATTAATTTCCGTTTCTTCTGTCCCTCAATTCTTTTTTAATAACCAATTCGGGGTTATTTATTTACTCGTGTCGATGTACAAAAATCAAACTAGCTAGAAAACCAGTGTTATCACTATACATGAGTATGATAATAGAATCGACTTGCATGGTCTTAATACAAGAAAAAGTCTTGAAAAAAATAATTAATAAAGCTTCTTTTTAACAAAATGCGTTACTTTGTTAAGCTATATTGTAATGTCACATGATTTGCACGTGACTAGTTAGTTTGTTTGTTGAGATGTTAAGTTGATTAGTTAGATAGCTAATGGTAGTTATAGATGTTAATGTAAGTTAAAGGGTGGATTAGTCTTTTTACACTTTACCAGTTTTTCTTTTAGCTCCTTCTGTATATAACGACATAGTGTATTCAATAGAGCAGTGGCTTGAACATTTCACTCAAGCACCGACTTTCTTCTTCACATTTCTTCTAGATTCTTCCACCATTAGAGTTCCTTGTAGATCTCTGTATTTGAGCATGGTATCAGAGCTGCGGATCTAAATCAAGTCACGCTAGATCTCTGAAGTCATTTTTCTGCTTCGTCATTGTTTAATGGAAATTCATTGAAACTTGTTGGTTTTCAGTAATGCCAGAGTCAGATTGTAACAATACCGGTGAATTGTAACAATTGACCACAATCATCCACTGTACATTGGACCTTCCGATAATCCTAGCTCACTCATAATACCGGTGAAGCTCACAGGCTCTGAGAATTATGGGCTTTGGAGCAGATCTATGAGAATATCACTCTTAGGGAAGAAGAAATTAGGCTTCATTAATGGTAGATGCAGCAGAAATGCGTATGAAGGAGAGCTTGTTGAACAGTGGGAGACATGCAATGCCATTGTTCTCTCATGGATTGTGAATAATGTGGCACCGGAGCTTCTAGGTGGAGTTGTATATGCGTCTGATGCATATCAGGTATGGGAAGATCTGCGAGAGAAATTTAACAAGGTAAATCGTGTTAGGATTTTTCAGTTGCACCGTGAAATTGCTACATTATCTCAAGGAACAAATTCTGTTTCAGTGTATTTTTCAAAATTGAAGGAATTATGGCATGAGTATGATGTTTTGGTTCCATTTCCTAATTGCTGTGAAAAGTCGAAAGAACATGCAGAAAATTTACATTAACATAGAGTTAAGCAATTTCTATCTGGTTTGAATGAGTCATATGACCAAGCTAGGAGACAAATTTTAATGAAAACAAATGCACCTAGTCTAAATCAAGCCTATGCTATGATTATTCAAGATGAGAGTCAACAGAAAATTAGGGTGAATGATGTAACTTCTGATAAGATAGAGCCTTTAGCTATGCAAACAGGATGAGGAAGAGGTAGGAGAAAATACCTACAATGTGATTTTTGTCATCTTAAGGGCATACTAAAGAAAATTGTTATAAGATTGTTGGTTATCCTGCTGATTATGCTCCTAGAAGGAGATATGGTGAAGGACCAAGGGCTCAAGTGAATGGCAACAGAACTCAGGCACTGGAAATCAAAACGTTTGGAATGGGAATGGTAAATCTTGATAGAACAATCCTAATGTTGGTAATCAAGGTGGAAATGATGGTAATGCTGGTAAACCAGGTGGATGGAGAAGAGAACCTATGGCTAAGATTAACAATGCAGATGTGAGTCATTTTGTATGCGGATATGAGTGATGGCCCTTCTGGAGCTGCTGAGCACAAGGGATATCACTACTTCACAAATGACCAGTACAATCAGATTCTAAATCTGTTGAACAAGGAATCACATCCTGAGTCAAGCATAGCAAACATGGCAGGTCCAGGAACAAGTGCAGGAACAGGTCCAGGAACAAGTGCAGGAGCAGCTGAGGTTAAATGTATGATGAGCAATTTAACACAAAAATCACAGGAGAAGGAATGGGTTGTAGATTCAGGTGCTACTCATCACATCACCTCTGATTTAGAGCTATTATCAGATGTTAAATGCACAAAGAAAACTGATAAAGATAAAGTACATCTTCCAACTGGAGAGCAAGCTGATATTACTCATATTGGTAGTGCAATTCTATTATACAAGAGAGAGATCAAAGATGTGCTTTATGTTCCTAATTTCATGTTTAACTTGCTCTCAGTGGCAAAGTTGACAAGGAGCTAAAATGTAATGCAAATTTCTTTCCTGATTTCTGTGTATTTCAGGATCTTTGGAATGGCAAGGTGAAGGGGATTGGTAAAGAAAGAGGATCCTTTTATGTACACAGAGGTTTAGCTAACAGAATAAATGCACTCAATGCTGTGAGCAGGACAAGCAGAGATTCAAGTGAAATTTGGCATAATAGGCTAGGTCATCCATCTACATCAATAATGAGACATGTAGTAGGCTTAAACAATAAAAATAATGAGATGTTACATGAAAATTGTTTGATATGTCCACTAGCAAAGCAGACTAGGTTGAAGTTTCCAATAAGCAAGTTTAGATCAGCAGTAGCATTTCATCTTGTACACATTGACTTATGGGGACCCTATAAGATTGCTACATTTGATAAGAAACAATATTTCCTAACAATTGTGGATGATTACTCTAGATATACATGGGTGTTCTTTTTGTAGTTAAAATCTGAAGCAATAGTGGCAATAAGACAGTTCATTTGCATGGTTCAAAATCAGTTTGGTATTGTGATCAAGGTAATAAGATCATATAATGGATCTGAATTCTTCAATGCACAATGTTTTGAGTTATTAACAGGCTTGGCATAATTCATCAAAGCAGCTGCCCTTACACTCCACAACAGAATGGCATAGTGGAGAGCGACACAGATATATACTTGACACTGCAAGGGCTTTGAAGTTTCAGGGTTCAATTCCAACCAGATACTGGGGAATGTGTGTTAAGACAGCAATATATTTGATCAACAGGTTGCCATCAAGTATTCTGGGGGGCAAAACTCCATATGAGTTGTTGTACCACAAGAATGCTAATATATCACATCTAAGGACTATAGGTTGTTTGTGCTATGCAACAAATCTAGTCAAAACAGATAAGTTTGCAGAGAGAGCCAAGGCAGCCATTCTCATGGGGTACTCTGAGACACAGAAGGGTTACATGCTGCTTGATTTGGCCACAAAGCAGTTCTTTACAAGTAGGGATGTCATATTCAAGGAATCAGAATTTCCTTTCTCTAAGAAGGATGAGAACAGATCACATGATTCACAGGAGCACATGGCTCAGTGAACACTACAAATCTCACATTTACACATACAGTCAGGAGTCAACACATATAATATCCCAACAACAAGAGAGATAAGCCTACAAGACAATGAGAGAAGTGAATTGCAAGGGAATCTACCAACTCTACAGGAGACAGACAGGGATGATATGCAGGAAGCGTCTCAAAATATGCACAATATGGATGTTGTTCATGCAGACACACATAGTGATAAACATCATGAAGGTGCAGAGACTTTAGTGAACAGGCAAGAAGATGCTGATGAAGGGATCTTAAGACCAAACAGAAGGTCTACAAGGCAGGTTAAGGAGCCAATATGGATGAAAGATTATGTCACAACAAATAAGACAACTGATAACTAGGGATTATGATGCATTTTACACTCTTTCTTGCTTAAGTTTTGATTAGAAATGTGTACAAAATAGTCCGAAAGGCTCACAAGTTGTGCTTGATTGCAGGTTTGATCATCAAGGTGACAAGGTGTCAAAAACCAGCTCAAAAAGGAGTGAAACTTGCACAAGTACCAAGACAAGACCAAGCTCAGTCAAACAGGGCCAGTGCGGCTGCACACCATTCTGTCCGGTCCGCAAGAATGAAGTTTAGAGACTATGTTTTTCAGGACATCAGGCAATGTGGCCGTAAAGAGTTTTGTGCGGTCCGCATTGGGTTCATTGCCGCCGCACTCGATTTCGTGCGGTCTGCAGAGCCGAGGTTCAGAGGGATGACAATTGGAGAATTATGCCCAATGCAGTCCCCGATCCATTTTGTGCGGACCGCAGTAGAAGCCACCGCGACCGCGGTGCATTTTGTGCGGTCCGCGGTGGCCAAATTTTAGATTGCAGAAAAGTCAAGCCAAGAGCCTTAATGAAGCTGCACTCGATTTTGTGCGGTCCGCACTAGCCCCGCTGGGGTATTTTTGTCCAGAATTTTTAGCCTGGTATAAATAGTTTCTTTTCCCATTTTTAGGTCATCAGTTAGAATATACAGCTGAGTTGCGCTCGTGAATAGTGCTTTTCTTGCCATTTGGAGTAATTTTACAATAGTTTTACCATTGAATCTTCAAGTTTTAATTAGTAATTTAATTTTATTGGTTTATCTTCATCTATTTCTTTGTTTTTCTCTATTATCATGAGTATCTAGACCCATCAGCTAGGGTTGTGGCTCAACCCTGGTGTGGGTAATTGATGGTTCTTGTGTTTTAAGGTTTGAATGTCTATGGGTGTTTGGTATTTGGACTAATTTATGGTTTTATTGTTGAATTAGTGGTTGCAAACACTAGTTTATGCTTTGTTGATTTTGGCTCTTCTTGAAAAAGAGAGCCTAAGTCTCTAGAATTAGTCCAATAAGGAATTGGGGTGTACTCAATAGAATTGATAGCCCCAATTAAAGAGTTAAACCGAGAGATCGTAATAACCGACTTGAACCTCAATTGCTTGCACAAATGATCATACCCAATTGATCTTGAGAAAGTCAATTAGGGCAAAATCACTCGAACTACCGAGAGGTATAGAGTGAGTAGAATCGTGCAATGGTTATATCGTAATCCCCAAATATGACAACCTAGACTTAGACACGAAAACCCGTTAATTATCCACCTAGGTGAAAGTCACTCCCCCAGTGCCTTTTAACTAATTAGAACATCTTCAATAGTCTTCTCTTAGTTTAACGTAACTCAATTTAGCATATTGGTAGTATAAATTTAGAAGTTAAATCAAAAACCAAAAATTGTTTAGAAGTGTAATTAGGAACAATTACGCAATTCTAACTTAGATAGAAACTCAATTCCAATTTCTAGCTCCCTGTGAAAATTGATCTCGATCTTATCGGGTAAAAGCTGATTCGACTTCTCTTGCTACTTTATAGTAGTACAGGGTTGGCTCCGATTAACAACCAATTGTAGTTATCCTATCTCCAACTACCTGACTTATGATCATACTAGTACAAGCTACAAATGCTACTTGGCTAAGTTCTCTCAACTGACAGAACCACAGATATTTAAGGAGGCAGTGAAGGACAGCATGTGGATAGAGGCTATGAAACAAGAAGTAAAGGCATTAGAGGATAACAAGACATGGGAGATAGTGAACCTGCCAGAAGGTAAGAACACTGTTGGATCCAAATGGGTGTACAAGAACAAGTTCAAGGCAAATGAAGAAGTTGAAAGATTTAAGGCAAGATTAGTGGCAAAAGGACACAACCAAAGGGAAGGTTTAGATTATCATGACACATTCTCACCAATGTCAAAAATGGTCACAGTGAGATCTGTCATTTCACTAGCAGCATCAAGAGGTTGGAACCTATTTCAGATGGATGTCTATAATGCATTCTTGCAGGGAGATCTGAATGAGAAAGTATATATAGAGATGCCTGAGGGGTTCAGAGGACAAGGGGAGCAGAAGGTACGCAGATTGCTCAAGTCCTTGTATGGACTTAAACAGGCCTCTCGACGGTGGAATATAAAGCTGGCTGAAGCATTACTTGGAGTAGGGATCACACAAAGTCATCATGACTACTCACTCTTTCCATTGAGAAGTCAAGAAGGAATAATGATCATCTTAGTGTATGTGGATGATCTCCTCATTATAGGAAGCAACTCAACACTAGTGAAAAAAGCAAAGGACATACTGCATCAGAATTTTAAGGTGAAGGATCTAGGGGAACTCAAATACTTTCTAGGTATTGAGGTTCTAAGATCTAAAGGTGGAGTGCTGCTGAATCAAAGGAAGTACATATTGGAGCTGATATCAGAAATGGGGCTGAGTGGTGCCAAACCAGCTAGCACACCATTGGAAGTGAATTCCAAGTTGACAACAATGGAATATGATCAGGCAAATGGGATCACAGGGGATCCACTTTTGCAGAATGCTGGTGCTTATCAGAGGTTAGTAGGAAGGCTCTTATATGTTACCATTACCAGGCCAGACATCAATTATGCAGTGCAGGCATTGGGTCAGTTTATGCAATCACCAAAAAGGTCTCATTGGGATGCTGCTTTAAGAGTTGTAAGATATTTAAAAATGGCTCCTGGACAAGGGATTTTGATGAAGTCTGACTATGCAGAAACTCTCACTTGTTGGTGTGATTCTGACTAGGCAGCATGTCTATATACTAGAAGGCCAGTTACTGGATATGTCATCAAATTTGGAGATTCAATGATTTCTTGGAAATCAAAGAAACAACAGACTGTTTCAAGAAGCTCAGCTGAGGCAGAATACAGGAGTATGGTAGCCAATATTGCTGAGGTGACATGGTTACTTGGTCTATTCAAGGAGTTGGGTGTAGACATAACTCAACCATTCACAATATATAGTGATAGTAAGTGAACAACTCAACTTGCAGCAATCCCTGTGCTTCATGAAAGAACAAAGCACATAGAGATTGATTGTCATTTTATTCGAGACAAGATCAAGGAAGGAACAGTTAAGGCAGTACATGTTAATACTAAGGAGCAACAGGCAGACCTACTAACTAAAGCTTTGGGAACAACTCAACATATCCATCTTCTTGGCAAGCTGGGAGTGTTCAACATTTTACACCCTCCAGCTTGAGGGGGCATATTGTAATGTCACATGATTTGCACGTGACTAGTTAGTTTGTTAGTTGAGCTGTTAAGTTGATTAGTTAGATAGCTAATGGTAGTTATAGATATTAATGTAAGTAAAGGGCGGATTAGTCTTTTTACACTTTACCAGTTTTTCTTTTAGCTCCTTCTGTATATAACGACATAGTGTATTCAATAGAACAGTGGCTTGAACATTTCACTCAAGCACCGACTTTCTTCTTCACATTTCTTCTAGATTCTTCCACCATTAGAGTTCCTTGTAGAGCTCTGTATTTGAGCAAGCTAGGTCACCATTTGTTTTACTAAAGTGTACTTTTTAAAAAAAATTCTGTTATTAGGATGTTATACTACAAAAAAACTGAATTTAGCTTCAAACTTTGCGACGAATGATCTGAGCTACATAAATATTCTGGCGGACTAATGACGAAATTGGATTATTAACGACGACGACAATATTTAGCATGGAATTAGACAGTAAGTAAAAATTTACAATGGGCAACAATTTATAAATAGGTTAGCCTTAACTAATTAGACGTAACTCCTCATGATTAATGAAAACATAACCCTCTTGAAAATTTATTGGCTTCCAAAAGAAAAAGAAAAACCCTTCTCATTTAATGAATGATAAAGCGATATAGATAAAAAGGAAATGAAATCGTGGTATGGAAATTTGGGCAACAGGAGTCAAAGTAGAACACGAGAAACTGACACGTGTCATTCATGTCTCTTCGAACCTAGTCACAAAACCTGAAACGACATGGCGGTCTATCTAAAATTAAAACTTAAAAAAAAAAAAAAAATTAAAACGTCAATTTAACCCTAAATATTAGCGAATCCCACCACCTTTTTCCCTTCTCTTCACATTTTCCAACAACTATACATACATGCACTGTTGCAGAAACAAGAAATAAACTTTAGAGAAAGAAAGAAGAAGATTTTCAGTAGAAAAAAAGGAAGTTTCTTTACTGGTAAGTCAGAATATTTCATGCATAGAAAGTTCATTATCTATTCTCAGTATAGTTTAAGTATTTTCTTCCATTTTATTAGAATTTGGGGATGGGGTAAAAATATTAGGGTTTTTCTTAAATGGCTTTAGGGTTTAAGAAAAGCTATAGAAGGGGTCCTCTTTCTTAATCTGTACATATATTACGACAATAATAACATACCCGCTATATTTTAATATATAGCGTCTATATATATATATATATGTACAGTAAGACCTGTCTATTACAGCATCCCTAATAATAACCTCTCACTATAAAAGCCAAACTTTTTTGACTGTATATATATATTTGCACACTAATGATGCATATATTTTTTACACTAGATAATGTATTGCAATGCGGGTGTATTATGCATATAACTCAATTGTTTATATTATTTCCTTTTTAAAAAATTACATTTTTATATGATTCATTTTCTACATCTTTTTGTTTTAGTTCT